TATATATATAATCTTGGAAGTGAACCTCCTTTGTTTTTTCTTCTTCAAATAGTCCGTGTATGGGATGTTCGCCCATTTGCCCCAAAAGAAAGATGTGTAAAAATATTCCAAGGAAATGTGCACAATTTTGAAAAGGTTAGTGACTTTCATTGCTTGAATTGTTCTTATGTTGGTGTGGCAAATGTATGACTAACTTTGTGCTTTTTGCAGAATCTGTTGCGTTGTTCCTGGTCTGCAGATGGCAGCAAAATAGCAGCTGGATCAGCAGACAGGTAAAGGACTTGTGTACCACTGCTTTGTTGTTGGTCACTTTGCCGTCTCCTAGCCAGTCATCTTTTACAACGTCCACTTTGTTTTCATGCAGGTTTGTGTATGTTTGGGACACCACGTTCCGCAGGATTCTATATAAGCTTCCTGGCCATGCAGGCTCTGTCAATGAAGTTGCCTTTCACCCTGATGAATCAGTTGGTAAGTTTCCAGAGGTTTCATTTTTTTTTTTTTTACAGTCAGTAAATGGAAATCAAAGTTGGAAGGTTGTAAGGAACAAATCTGGTTAAAGAACACCTTCAATCTTTTGTCTACCTGCCAAAATATTTTAACATGTATAATAGCCTTTCCCAACCCTTGCAGGAGCTGTAAAACTGTTAATATGGTACATTACCTTGTGGCGTCTCTGATTCAAAAATGGTGGCTGATGTTAAAGCCCTTGTATTGAGCAGAGGGAGTATACTAGGAAGGCACCGTGCTAGACCTTCATGGCGACATATACTATAACATTCAACACTGTGCATTAAAGTAAAAGATGGGCCCTCCACTGCACAACCTGCAAAATGTAATTCTCTGTCTTCCTCCCCATCCATGCAAAGTCACAGGAAGGGAAGGACCACCTAAACACAGCAGCCATTACATCAACCTTATATGCTGTTGTGGGATGTCATCTTTTACAAAAAAGAATCCCTTGTAATATTACTACTTTAGATCTTAACACAAAGCGATTACCAAGGGAGGAAATATATGGGCCTATATTTTACATTATTATCTTGTTTTCAACTACAAATACATTTAAAAGAGAACTGTGGGGTAAGTGATTTTCCCCATAGTTCTCTTTAGGTTCACGGGAGGACATATACTAGCTCAATATATTGCAAGCTACAGCTTGCGGTATACTGAGATCGCCGTAGCAGGGACGGATCCCGACAATACTGTCGAGATACACCCAGCTGTGTGAGTGACAGCTGGCTCTGCCTAATTAGAGGCAGAGCCAGCTGTACCCGTCCGTTCCTCCAGTCAGCGATGGATCAGAGCGGGGAAGGGGGGAATCCCTGCAGGGGCCCGTGACTGACGGTCGCCGATCTCTGCAGGGAGATGATCGGGAAGTGAACGAGCGCCGGTATGTGTTTGCTCACTTCCCGATCTATTGAGCCGACGTGTGACAGTTTCATTGCCACACATCGGCTCGAACTATAAGGGTGAGTGATTTTCACTTTCCTCAAAGTTCTCCTTTTTTTTAAGTCGTTTCTTATTTTTATGCTTTCTAATGTTTAAAAAGTGTTGTGCTACCAGAAAAATTCCCATCTGCTTCCCCATGTGCACATATGCGAAAAGAAAAATGAGTTTGTTTTAGTAGAGCAGAAGTTTTTATAGTTCATTCTACACCTGAGACCTGGAAAGGTAACATGTCTGATCATGACGCTTTGGACAACCCACAAAAGGGAAAGGGTTATAGGAGTTTCAGCTTTATGGTTAAAGAAAATCCCCCCCTTTGTTGAAGATGGTATGTTTTCGGTATCCCTCCTACACTGTTCCTGTTATCTAGCAGTCCTCAGAAAGTTGTTGTTTTGTGCCATGAACCTCTCTAGCATAAGATATCAGACACTGTGATAGAAGACATTGACATATTGTTGGAGCCCAGATACCTTTTGGTTTTTTCCTGTGTAATTAATCTGGCTGGCTGTCCGTATAAATAAATGGACCTCGTTCGTTTCTAGACAGTGGGCAGTTTTGGTTGAAGGATTCTACTGTAATAGTTTGCTAGCCTATATTTTTCCTTCTAGAACTTCTGGTTTTAGAAGCCGTTTTAATGGATTTTGCAGAATCATTTGACATTCTTCTTTTTCTTTACAGTTCTGTCTGCTTCCAGTGACAAAAGACTATATCTGGGAGAAATCCAATGATCGAGCAGCATTTCTCTTTTTGTGCAGCATACTGTTCACCTTTTATAACTGACCCAGAGGACTGTTTTAAATGGAATATGTCAGAACTCCACGTTCATTGTTTTTTCTTGTCTAAAGAAATTTGCTTATTATTTTGAACTTGGAACTCTCTGGTCTTAGTTTCTACAAAGCCGTCATGATACTTTTTGAGACATTTAAGTCATTGTCAACATGTACATAGCATAACACTCAGCATCCAGTCAACCAATTTTTCACGGTCAGCTAACGCAAATGATGTTCACCTAATAGGTTTTTTGTTTTAAATTGTAGTTTGTATGAAAAACTTTTAATACAGTTGCGTGAACTGACATTGTCCGTGTGTGTTTATATACTTTTACCATTGATGATTGATTACTTACTTGGAGCTCCAGCGGTAATAAACCAGAAAAAAGATGAAAAGTATATCCAGTTCTGGTGGTCAGATGTAGTCAAAAACTGTTTTTACAAATGGGTAACAGATTTTAAGCCCTTCACAACCAACGACATACAGTGTATGTCGCTGGCATCGGGGCTGTTTAAACAGAAGCTGCCGGGGCTCTGTTTAAACTTGTACAGCCGACTGTCGGCTTTACAGAAGTGATTCTGGCGATTCGGCTGTCGCCAGATTGCTTCTACGGCCTGGTGAAGGGGTGTGCTCCCCCCCCCCCCCCCGCCGTGTTTCCCGGGCTCCGTTGCCCCTCCTACAGGCCTGGGACCAGCTTCTTCTGTGTCGGGAAGCTGGGGAGGAGATGGACAAACCTCCGTTTGTCGATTCCCCTCCCCGTTCTATGGGACCGGTAGTGATGCAGATTGCATTACTTCCGGTCCCATAGCTGTTAGTGCTGGTCTCCTGAAGCCCAGCTATAAGCTATTGAAGTGCAATCTGCACTTCAAAAGCTTACTTGGAGTACAAAGGTGATACTAGGTCTTTTTGACCCCCACCATCACCTTTAAAGAGTACCTGTCACTTTAAAGTTAAAAAAAAACTGATGACCTGTGGGGGCTTTTAAAGTGTCGTCTATGGACTTCTTGGGGTACTAAATTTTGTTGCCGTTTCACGGACGCACACAATTTTTAACCTGGGCATGTTGGGTATCTATTTACTCTCTGTAACCTCATCTTTTATATTTTATTAAAAAATTGGTATTTTATTGTGTTTTGGGGCATTTAAGTACGTTAAATTGTGGAGTTTGATAAGGAGTTGCGCTAATATGGTGCAACATAAAAACTTACAACTGCCACCATTTTATTCTATAGGGTCTTTACTTTCAGAAAATATATCATGTTTGGGGGTTTTAAGTAATTTTCAGACCTAAAATGTGGAATATAATATGGGTGCAAAAATAGGGACCTCAGTCATGAAGGGGTTAAATGTGCATCAGTCTGAAGTGAAAAAATAGAGCGGTGGGGCTTAACATAATAGAACCGCATTTCTAAAGAAAACATATTTGCATTCAATATCTCTCTCATTTTGACATTTGGCTTGAGTGATTTCTCCTAGGATGTCTAGGAATCATACCAATTCATGTATTAAAACACATTTGTACCTGAGGGCATTGTTGAGTCCGTGCAAGCATGCCAAAAAAAAAATTAGTAGCTTGCCCTTAGTGGAATTTAGGGGTACATGTACTGATCTATTCACACAACTTTCCCAAGATTCACCCATTTTCCATTTTAAAAAAGGGTGAAAGTTGTGTGAATTGATAAATAGACTCCCAAGCCTTTTTGTTCTGTTGGGAGTGTGCAACCAATTACAGTGTTTCATTTGCTGCAAAATAGATTAAGAGCTCCTGAATTTGCCAACCTAACCAATTGCCTCGTTTTATGTTGTGGTGAAACAAAATTTAAAGAAACACTGACTTAATACAGTTGGAGCTTTCGTTTTCAGTCCTATTGTTTAAACTAAAGTGGTTAGTGTTTGGCTTAGTCATTATAATAATGGAGGAGCTTTACCAAGATGGACCAGTTCTAGATTGGCCAATCTGTTGATGAACTGAAAGTACACAGTAAAAATAGGTTTTAACCCTAAGCAATCACATTTGCAAAGGATTATACAGAACCTTACAGAATCAAAAGCAGTTGCTATCTTTAATTAGGCATTGTCTGGAGCTGTCATTCTCATTATTGCATTATAGCTTAGTCATGGACTTGGAATCAGCATGCAGCCAGGGAAGTGTCGGGATATTCCAGGTTTGTAAGTCACCAGGTAGTGAAGGAACATTAAGCTGACAAGGTAAAGCACACACCTCACAGGGAATCAGTAACTGGTTTAGGGTCAATTTTTATACAATCAACTTCAGTAAGGAAGGTCAGCAGTGGTAGTCTACATACATTTCCTTATTACATGTTTACTTTAAGGTGACATAAGTCCAATCTGAACTTAAAGCAGGAAGATAGAAGCAGCACCCCCCCCCCCTTGTACTGTAGGTATTTTTTCAGAGGTGGGAAATAAGTGTCAAGGTGTAAGTTATATCCTCTTACATTGTTCATGACTTCCAGGACCTTGCTGCAGTACTGATTATGGCACTGGCACTCCAAAATGAATACGAAACACTTTCATCATCTGCCATAGCACTAACAAGCATTTCAAATTTAAGGTTTCATACTAAAACAGTTTAGATAATTGTATGCTCCTATTTTTGACAACAGTTTAGGAAAGGCCCTTTTTGTTTTCTAGCATGTCTGTTACCCTTTTCAGAAAGCCAGGTCCATAAAGACATATTTGACAAGTTTGGTGTGGAGGAACTTTAATGGCCTGCAGAGTCCTGAATAATTTTAATTATTTATTATTATACAGGATTTATATAGCGCCAACAGTTTGCACAGCGCTTTACAATATAAGGAAGACATTACAATCGCAATTCAAGACAAGATGGTAAGGAGGGCCCTGTCCCTGAGGGCTTATTTTTTGGGAACACCGATTGTGAGCCCGGTTTTCTGGTCCAACATAAGTACCAGACCTCACAAATGTTCTTTTAGCTTAATGGGCACAAATTCACACAGACCAATTCCCTATTAATGTCCTTGATTTTAGAATGGGATGTTTAACAAGCTCATATACTGTAGGTGTGTTAAATGTTTGGCCATCTATTGTATACAGTGTGTGTGAATAAAAAAAATATATATAGATCGATATTACATACAACTACATGGCCAAAGGTTTATGAACAAGACACAAATATGAGCTTGTTGGAGATCCCATTCTAAACTCAAGGGCATTAATAGGGAGTTGGCCTGTGTGAATTTGTGCTCAAGTAAAAGAATATTTGTGAGGTCAGGTACTTATGTTGGACCAGAA